AACTTGTCGCTCACTAAGTGAAATAAAACCGCACTTCAACTCCAACATAACCTTACTCTTTGTAAATGTATCCAAAATCCACAATTAATGTCATGAGGGTTGACTTGTTTTGCTGGATTTCAGTATTTTACCAGGCATGGGGGACGCTGTGAGTTCTCCCTTTGTTTACACAAAGGCTATTCACATAAACGGACGCCATGTCAGACACATCGCAATACACATCGACCGAACTACAATGTAAAGCTTGCATATTATTACCCATACATGTACCTAAAAATCATAGCAAACTGATCAGGTCATGTTAGTTCAAACCCCTTTAGTCAAGCGTTTGATTACATCATGGTAATGAACCTCACGGATAAACTATTATTTCCAAAATAAAAAAATTCAGATTTAGACCGGAGTGTAGATTTAGGTCATTTGACCGAGTAGGTTATATAACCCCAGCGTCGGGGCGCCCTACGCTCAAATGTGCTTTGTCGTATGGACGACATCACGACAAATCAAGCCAAGGACGCATAGGTTCAAATGTTGTATTAACAATCCTTGATCATTCTATATCTAATTTGCTTAGATTAAAGTGCTGGCAACTTTGGTTCAAGTAATTATCACCTGAAACATGAATACACGCAGTACCTAATTACCCCTTATTGTTAGCCGCTCCCCAACACACGCCAAGTGTGCGGGGCGTAAATTTCCTTGCACGTGCACGGCGAGCACGAATCCGGGAGTGTAAGGAAATATCCGGGGCCGTACACGCGGAGCCCGGAAATCCATGGACGCGACCAGGACACGGCGAGTTTCACGGGTGTGTGCGGGACTGGAAACTCTTGGAAACGTGGTTTTTCATACAGTGCTACATGTACGTGTATATTCAGTAAAAAAGAAGACAATATAAAGTAATTCTTGTATCTGCAAACTATTTTTTTTCTCATGACCTGTACTTAACCCAGTGGGTATATTGTGTACAATAAAGTCTTCATTCATTCATTAAAACAATACTGATAAATTTACTGATAAGTTTTTTTTACACAGAGAAAGTAAACTAATACTACTTATAATAATAAGCAGATTGATACAAAAATACAAAAACAGAGATATCCATTGTTTGAGCCCCGGAAACTGCTCTGCTCCAGTAATATGCGTACCTACAGTGTGTGGAGGGAGTAGGGTTGTGTCATTCATGGCAAGTGACCTTTCCCTCCCCAAGCCTTTTCAGCGCCAAGCGGACATGCATGAAGCAAGGAGAATCTTGTGCACTGTTTCCATTCACTGCACACTTCTTGCATAGAGAGTAACAGTATCAACACAGGCTGGGCATTCTATGCATGCCTCTATGCTAGCATCTCATCTTACGAGGTCTGTGGCTTAAATTCTTACCTTTAAAACTGAGTTTTTAAGCACCTTTGAGAGAACTTTTAGAGTTTTCATTCAATTTCTTAAACTAGGAAGAAATCAGAGATTTTAAATCTCTATGAAGGCTATACAATCCATGCAGACACAAAGAAAAAACAACAAATTGGACTCCAATAATCATGAAAATCAAAGAAATCTGTGAAAATTATCATCAAACACACAAAATCCACCAAGACAATAACTTCCTGTGGAAGGATGTCTACTTCCCCAAGGTAAAAAAAATCTTGAGATTAACCGATATCTTACTTATCATGTTAAAATACTATTACATAATGTTATTGATGACTACTTATGAAAATCTTTATAAGACTGAACATGCAAGGCATGTCAGACTTACATGTATTGAATGTGTATTAGATTATAGCTTATAAGTTAGATTAGATTTTCTTTGCTACATGTACATGTACATTGTACATGTACCTTTAAATGGTTCATGACATGAAAGAAAATGAACAGATTCTAGGACAAGATCCTAACTCATAAAAAGGCAGTTTTTAATTTAAAAAAAATGACTTGTCTACACAAGTTCACTCAACTGGCATGGGTAAAATCAGGCTAAGGAATCCTTTGTTATCAATGGTTAACTTTGTTACTTTTAATATTTTACATCAGTCAAAATCTCAACAAACAAGTTAAATTCTTTTCAATTACAAATTAATTGTTACATCCTTCAGTCTGAACCCTTAGATCTATCCATAAAACTGAAAGTTAGAACATCTAAATTTAGTAAAAACATTTGGGGCAACTGCTGGGCTAGTTACTCTTACCTTTCTGACTGACTTCTTCTTTTTTCTTTCCTGCAAACCAAACAGACTTTCAAGCCATCTGTTTGTATTTTTGGAGGACTGTTTTAGAACTCCTGCCATAGTTTTGCCACAGTTAACTTTTCCCCATAAACACAGCTTGTCTGAGAACAAAGGGTTTGCAACAAAATCTGGTCAGGCAACATTTCTGTGTGGCCTAGGGGGTCATGGCTTGCACAGTCAAGATGGCAAAGGTGAGATTTATTTTGTCATGGTGATTCACCTATTGTTCCCCAAGGGATTTATTTAGACAATGCACCAGACAGGTGTGCCTTGTTGGATGACTCAGGTGTAGGTGATCCCTTATTAGTGATTTATGACAACAAAGTGCCCCTTTCAACAAGATGAGTCAGAAGAGGAACTATTTTTTGTCAGCAAAATTTTTTTACATGCAAAAGCAACAAACAAAAATGCATTTCTATGAAAATTTACTACTAGTATTAAAATCTTTTGACACAAAGTAAAATGAAATTCTAAGTAATTCAATTGATTATCTTATTATTATATACCCTCTATAGCAATGAACGAAATGAACTCTTTGACTTAGTCTCCAAATCCTACCCAAACTTTCACGCATATACAAATGAAAATAAAACTACTCTCCTCCTAACATCCGAAAACCCACAAATTATAGAAAAAGTGGGATCATTTGTCTTCCTCTGTCTTCAAAAAAGAAGTCAAACCCAGTAGTTTTTCTACTAGTAGTCTCTTAAAGTAATAGTTATCAGTAGTTCTATGTGTACGTATTACTTGTTTTTATACAAATGTTTCTTCTGTTCATGCAATTAGCCTTCGGGCATGAATTTGCAATAAAACTTTCTTTATTATAATGATTGTAAACAGGTTTCAGATTTCAGTTGACATTTGTTTTATAATCTTTAATGTTCAGAGTGAGATTCTTGAACTCTGACTCCAATATTGTACAGGTATCCAAAAAAAGTGCATTTCTAAAACTATGATAAAACTACTTAATATAAACTACATTAAATTTTGTGTCAGTTTTCCATGATACACATAAGCCTTGAAACAAAACTAAATTACCCCCCCCCCTCCAAAAATAAGATACCACCAACTTTGATACAACATGATTGTTTTTCTACCTCCATGATACAATAATCCTTTCCTAGAGAATCAATGACATATACATTGAAGATGATCTACATGTAGCTAGAACAAACATTACGTAATACAAAATGAATTATTGACATGCAACTGGATGAATTCTCTGACCAAGGATGTGTTGAACGTCCTTGCTCTGACAAGTCAATCTCACATTACGGATACACTGTAGCATCTGCTATATCACAGTGACTGTAAATCATGATTCGTGGTTTTCACAGTCACTTTACCGCAAACTTATCATTACCACGACCAAATAATTTACTGACTTTCTTTCTTCTGCACCTGCTGCCACTGCGAACATGTCCACTTTTCTCAGAGTCAGACTGCAAAATTTTGCTACTGCAAATATGTATAAACTTAAAGTGATTTACAGTGATTTCATGAGGGACTGCATGGGGGGTCCTGGCAACAGTCAACGGTAAATTCAGCAGGCCCAAAAACACTTAATGGCAAATTCAGATGAATTTACATGTAGGATGACAAATAATGCGCTACATAGAATTAAAAGGGCCAAAAACGCTTCATTGAGGAATATACCGTTAATGCTTAATGTTGAATTAGAGCAGGCCGGCAACGATTAATGGTGAATTAAAATAACCCATAACGGTTAACAAAAAAGGGCATGCAGGCCCTCTTTCATTGCAGCGACTGAGCAATTGACATTACACATGCATCTGATACTCTGAATATTGTCTATGACCTGTGGTTGTCTGCACTACTCCATTAACTGGTATATCAAGGTCAGTTTTCCCCACTTTCAGATGAGAACAATCACATGATTTACAACACAATAGAGCCGGCTTTCCTATGGGAATACACATTAAACTCAAATGTAGAATGTGTTTCAGTTGGACCAGGTACATCTAGAGTTTGCATTTTCTTTTCTGTGAAGCATAGAGTTTTTGGTAACTTATTTGCAAGGCATAGTAACTGGTCGCAATTTTACTCTACGTAAGACGTAATTCGTTATCCAGACTTCAGCATTAAGCAGAACTTTATTATTGACAAATTATCTGGACAGCACATTGCCCAAGTCACAACGGAGCATTTGGTTGTGTTAGTGTTTGCAGCCTTGCTAGTTTTTACATACACCACAATGTAACAATGGAACAATCCAATGTTGCATGCACTCCTGAATTTACCATTATATATGATAAAGCGTTGCTGGCCCTCCTAAATTTACTGTCAAGTATTGGCAGGATCCCCCCATGCAGACCCACTCAAATGTAAAATGTGTAATACTTGTTTCACCAGGTATTGTTTTTTTAGTTACAGTATCACTGAGTTATTAAGCTTGTCAGGTCCAGGTAGAATCCCTTTGGGCAAATCTCCCTGACAGTGTCTGTCAGTTAGAACTTACATGTACTATGCAGGTTGAGGCACACAGATACAAACGCCCTCTAGCAGTGATGGCAGGAAGTGCAAGACGACTTCATTGTTGATGTGGACTGAGGCGTTTCAAGACATGGATACAATGCAGCTACATGATGAGGAAAAAGGGCCCATCATATGGTTAATATCGTGGTTAAGGAACATTAAACTGCTGGTTTTCTATAGATAGAAGACCATATTTGAGATCTTATCTTAATTCTGCAACGTAGGCCTACCAATAACTTACTTGTAAATGAAAAAGGCACTTGATGTTAAAGAATTTATTCATCCCCACAATTCCTGAGACATTAGTAAATAATACGTATAATACGATCTGATAAAAAGGAAGACGTAAAAGACATTTGGCAAAACAACAATAATGTGCTCATAATTGAGATAACATGGTAAAATACATATCAAATCAATATGTCCATAACACCAGCCAGAGGTTTCTTACATGTCCTATAGATAATTATGATATTAAAAATTCTCATACTTCGCTTGAGTGAAATTTCAGGTCTAACTTACAAATTGTAAAAAGAACATTCAATTTATTTCTTCAATTCTTAACTTACTTTCAATTCCAGGATAGATCAGTCCTCATCTCTGGTTAAAAAAGAACTGCAGTCTACCACTTAAAAAAAATTCTGAATGAAATAAAAATGCTTAATGAAATTCTAAACACAGCATTTTGCATCGGCTATGATAAAGAAATACAAATTACATGGAATGAATTTCCTTCCAAGCAGATCAGATTCTGCATTTTACAAAATACAAGATATCCAAAATAGTTAATACATACTCAGGGTTATTTATTACTTTCAACTGTTGTTAAGCTGAGGGTAGTAGAACATTAAATATAAGACAATTTCTAGACAGATACTAGCATCAAATTCACTGTCACTAACAAATATTGGTTATAATACAATCACATTCATTGTAGGTTATCGTAAGATTTTGATACCTGTATTTTCAACAGCTGAAAAGGATCCAAGACAGCTTTTCATGTAACAAAACAGAAGACAGCTGAATTTTGCAGGGCTGTCCCAAGATTGCCCTCAGTTTGTGATCACTTGACGATCACACAACGTACGTGACGAAAGCCCTTACAGGTAGAGCCTGTGCCATCTGCATTCCTATTACTGGCCCTTCTGTGACTTTTTAAACTTGCTAGTTAACCTGGCTAGTCCTCCTTGCCCACTCTGCTTGTTTGGCTTCCTGTAACTCCTGTTCCCTGATGAGAGCGATGCATCAAACATGCTCTCCCCCGGAACAGGTTCTCTGGACAGAGAACGAGTTTTCCGTGGCAGCGACATGTTGCTCCATAGCATCTTCTTCTTCTCCGTGTTCCTGTGGTACTCACTGTTGCTGTGGCTCGCCACACTTTCCGCATCATCCCGCCTGCTCGATCCTCTTGTCTTCTTCTTTTTGCGGCTCTCTCTGCTAGTGCGGCTCCCAACACTTGCCACGTCATCCGCCTTCGACCTCTCCTTTACCTGAACCTCGATGTGCTCTTCTTCCCGCCATTCTGACACCCTTGGCTGTTCCTCTCTAAGCTCCTCTATCATTGGTTCTTCTTTCCTGTACTCCACCAGTGGTGGCTCTCTTCTAAGCTCGTCTGCTATTGGTTCTTCTACAGCAGGGGCCTGCATGATTGGTTCCTGGCTCAATTCGTTTTCGTCGAGGACGGCCAGGTCGAGGTTGACCTCAATGTCGCCTGGGGACATCCCCTCGGGCGGTCGCACGTTCACGTGGAGGGACTTCCCCTCTCCTTTTGTCACGTTTACCAACACGTCTTCCGTGGCGCTGATGGCAGCTCGGACAGACGCTGTCGTACTGGTCGACCTAACGCTGGAGACAGATGCGTTATCGTCTCCCACGATGTCAAGGGGGAGTTTGGGCACCGTGTCCAGCACATCATAGGAGGGAGGGGGGCGGTCGGGTGGACCAGACGGCTGTTCCGGACCGGAATCAATCTTCCGTAAAGTGGATTGTGGGACAGGGGCATTGTCCTCCTTTGTGACGTAGTAATGCTGGTCATTCACCAGGACTTGAGTAGGTGCAGGCGTGTTTTCCTCCTGTTGAAAAAAAAAGAAAATTGAATGAAGAGGGTCTTGCTTGACATTGCCTTTACTCACTTAGACTACATGTAGTACTACATAATAAGGATGATAAACGATTAAGTGGGCATATTATGTTGAGGTTTGTACTATGTACTGACAATCTGTAGCTGTATAGCCTATATAACCGTCATTCAGCATACATGTAATACACCAGCACATGGCATGGCAGCAGCTAGCTACACAACATGTATATTACACTGAACAACCTGTTGCGCCTAACTTTTGCTCATCCAATTCCGGGTGTTGTATGAAGCTACATGCATCTAGTGATGATGCCCCAACTGTACTTGGTTGCAGCAAGTTCCAGTCTACAATACATCTTTAAACAAAGATACAGGTAAGCCTCCAAACACATGAGTCACGCAGTTGCTTACAATGATGACAAATCAGCATGTACCCTAAGGTCTTCGTGCTTTGAAAAGGCCCTGGTAATTAAAATAATTGGATGTCGTGATAATTGCACCTTATTTTGATGTGTCCCAAGGCATAAACAGGGTTGGTCCTTCGAAAATTCAAAGATGAAGCTCAAAACAAAATTCTTTTTTTTTTGTTCAATCGACATCAACTCTGAAGTCATTACAAGCTTTCCTCATTCCTTTCCGAAAAATGTTTTGAACTGGCAAAACTGCCTGAGGGTTTAAAGAATCAATTTCTAAGTATCCTGTTGAGTCAGGGTGTTTTGAGGTTAGACATTTTCAAAATCTTCAACCATCAACCTGACCAATGAGTCCCGAACTTACAACGGTATTAGACTGAGTCGAACATGTTACCCCTACATTCCGATATTCGGTCGTCGGCAATTAGAAGTAACAATTCTAATGGGCAAATAGACATTAGGTTTTGGGGACATTTGGTGTGTTAGTACATGGATGTAACGTTAACTGACATTTGTGTGACTCACCTGCTGTTCTGCCCCAGTAGTCATGGAGCTCTGCACCCCTGTCGTCTGATCTCCACCCGCTGGCTGCCAGCTCCAGTCTTTCACACTCCCCGCCAGGCTGAAGTGCGACTCCCGCTTCTCGACTGGCTCTTTCTCGTACGTGACCCCGTCTGAATAGCCATTGCTGGTGCCGATGAGTTGTGACCTCCTGCTGCTGTCGTTTGGTTGTACCGCCGGACCAATGTTGACAGAGATATTTCCGTTACTGGGTTGCGACTCTCTTCTGTTATTGGTTGGTTGGATCATCGAGTCCCTGTTGTTTAATAGACCCGTCGCAGATGTAATGCTGCTCGCATTGCTAATCTCCGACTCCCTCCTGTTGTCCATTGTTTGGACCAACTTGCCCGAGTCTCCGTGGTTCGATGAAAAGCCGTTAGCGGAGCCAACACTGCTGACTTTGTCAGTTTGTGACTCTCTCCTTGTTTCTTGGCTGAACTTACTGGACACGGAGACGGTCTTCTGGCCCTTGCCGTTTGCACTGTCATAATGGTTATGGACCCTGTTTTGCTTTTTGTGTTCTTTCGACCGGACTTTGTCATTCTCGTATTCCTCCTGCAAAGCGTCAGTCGGCTTTTGTAGGAAGATGATCTTGAGCTTTCCGTCCTCGACGTATGTGATGAACATTTCTCCGGGAACCTGCTGCTGTTTCTTCAGCATTTCAGGCGGAAGCGGAAACTGCTGAAAGTTGACAATGGTCCAGCCTTGCATTTTCTCAGCGTTGAAGGACACGGCCTGAATTCCACCCAGGGCAGGGGGACGTTTCTCGTCGGGATCGAAAGGGATGTTTTCGTACGAGGCGGACAAATCTTGCAACACCTCGTCAGTCAGCGAGAAGCGTACTTTCTTGTCGTGCAAATGAGCAGGATTCTGGGGGAAAGGCGCAGAGCTGGGTGGACTTGGGGCGGCTTGTACTGCTGACGGCCCGACGATGGCTTTTTGAGGAAATGACGACCCATTGATGGCCGTCTGGGGGAATGACCGCCGCCTGCTGTACTCCGATAAGTCATCGACCTGACTGATTGTCCAGTTCTCGACTTTGTCAAAAGAGAACTTCTCGTTAGGGTTGCGAGGCGCCCGGACTGCAGGCTCGGAGAAAGTCGCAGCTGGCTTCTGTTGCTGTTGTTTGGGTTGGCTGGCTTGGGATCCGGGTGGTTGTGTAACAAGCACGGTGTTCCAGATCCTCTGGCTGGGCTGCCTGTCGGTATGTTTCTCCCCACACACCTCGGCGGTGTGCCATCCTCCCGGTGGGAGGATGTTGGGGTTGAAGTCGGTGGCGATTCTGGTGTCGATGTAGGTGGTACTGGCATCCATGATGCGAGCAGGTGCCAATCTCCAAAACTAACCTCCTTCTGAGAATGTGAAGGCGTTCTGTGTGCCCTGACTAATGGGATGTTTTCATTGTCTAAACTTGTTAGGCAGGTTTTGTGTGTTTGTTTCTGACAAGATAATTGTTATGCAGACCAGGTTCTGACCCACATGCAGAAGGATTTATAAGCTATTTTTAACACCTTTCTTTCATGAAGCTTTATTTGTCCTTGTGAGTGTGAGTGACGAATATTAGGAACACTGTACCAATATTCATGAAAAAGTGTTTTGAGTGAAATGTTGATGACACGTGACCTGTGTTAAAACTTACCATTTTCTTCTGATCTCCTCAACAACAAAGTTACAAAATTACCTGATTGAATCAGGTCAGATGATTAACCTTTCTTGCAACACAAAGGGTAATTACATATTTTTTGTTTAAAAAGAATCAACACACAAACACAAGAAAATGGTGTCCTTTATATATTGTCTATAGACTTGTGGAAGGGACTCAAAATGCACAGAAGTGTGACAATGAGTCATAGAATCTGTTTTGCACTAAAAACCTGGGACATTTTTCTAAATGCCTCTAGGCATGATTTGCATAACGGCGCTTCTTCATTGTTGCTGCACTGACTTACTCTACAAAAAAGTTAACACAAGCACAACAAACTTTAAGTTTATAGTGTTTCGTTTACTAAATGGAACTGTACTGTTTTGACCTTTTTTGCTGGCTTATAATGTTATCATGATGAACTTCATGAAATTTTGAAATCATTAAAACTTATATTGTTGTTTATGATGGCATATACTGTAATTCCTGATTTTTCCACTCTACTTTTATGTTTATAGTTTCCATGCATGATATATGGAATATTATGAATATGAATATTGAACAAATTGTATTTCTCCCACCTCCCCATTGCCGCCGCCACCATAAAGATTAAGTATGGTGAACATGCCAATTTTCCTCAGACAGTAAAATTTTACAACCATGAAGACCAAGTGAATTACAGTAATTACAGAATTACTGTAAAGTGCCTTAAACTTTTTTCTAAAAGAATAGCTACATAAATTACTGTCACCTTTTTCAACAGTTTATTGCAATAATAACCCAAGGAAATACAGTCTACAGTGAAGATGTCTATTGGACAACTGTTGTTTTTCACCTCTTATCTTAGAATTCAAAACAAACTGCTGACAGTAACTCTTTCCATGATGTAAGAATTCATTTTATGATCATAACTTTTGACTTTAAAAGTAAGCGACATCATATTAACCTAACTTCATAATAACCCTACTTGGATGACATGACTTTCTTTGATTATTTAGTCCAAACACCTGCCTTTAGAACATTATCCTTGACCTACGCTACAACACTATAAACATATATTAACTAACATTCTATGGACTTTAACTTAGTCACAAAACTTCTTTAAGATCACAAAAAATAGAGCAGGTGTCTTCTTTAAGTTTTGTTCTGTTCCAAGCCTCCAAACAATAAAGCCAAAATCTCAATACAAATCAACCAAATCTGCATCTTTTCTGTAAAAAAACATCAAGACGAAGTATCAAACATCTAACTGTAACACAACTATTAATAATAATACAATAGCCCCACCTGGTCTGAAAGCATTGTTAGCCTTGTAGGATTACATCCCATTCTTATGACTTCATTTGTTAAGCTTCAATGAAGACTGAAGGACAGAGGGTGACAACAGTAACTCATAAACAGTAAGTCATAAACTTACAGTATATTACTCCTTACACCATGTATTACTAAGTTTCTAAAAGAAATAAATCATTCTCATCCCATTTTACGTAATATATGACAGTACATGTAGCAGTATTATTCCACTAAAAAAATTACACATTCTGTTAGACAGTCAAAGCTTTTGTTCTACAAGTCAACTGGACCATTTGAAAAGTTGACAACACTTTACAATGTAGTACCTACACAAGGTGCTAGAGGGAGCAGTATTGACATTCTACACCAGTCATATAGTCATGATAGTTGTACCTGTTCATGAGACATGTAAGTGTTGAGATTCCCACAGCTTGCAACACTCCATTACACTGGGTAATTGTATTGGGTGTACCACTAGATACAGCACTCTACAACACAACATACTACATGTACATGTATTAGGTTATTCTGTACAAGTGCCAACACCAAATGTATTCATCCCTTACTTCTTGCTATCAACTTGAAGATGAAGGTTGGATTCCATAAATCCACATCTCATTGTCTTCATGGTCCTTCCCTTTCCATACTGTTTCACAGTCTTGGATTAATGATATTGATAATAAAACACCTTACCCAGTATACATGTACATGTATCTTTATATCACAATATGGCTTTTGGTCCTTGTGAATCTTATGCAGTTTAAGAAATATTGAATAAAGTATCAAGTATTTACTGTGAAAAGAAAACCCTTTAAGTTAATAATCATTCCTCGACACCATTATGATAGCAAAATCAGTATTACAGTTACTGTGTAGTATTATATCATTTTTCATACAGTAAAATTATATATTTGATGGCAACTACAGTTAGTGTGCATATTACAGTTTGTGTACCAATAAAACTTTGAATTATTTTGTATTACAATGTATTACAATCTTCAAAAGTGGTCCTATTGAAAGTTGCTTCAGGATGGTAGTATCAAGTCATTGTAAACATGGGTAAGAATTCTTGATAATTATATTATTGATGACTGTTGACAATAATGTTTGTAGATGGCACACTGGATTTCTCACAGGGCATGGCATATGTTAGAAATTTGTGCATTTTTACCGTATTCTTTATGGCAACGTGGTAATAAATGTCCAAAACCTCAAGTTTGTGCTTATAATATGTTTCCTCTAGTTGGTGATATCGTATCTGAAACTAGCACTTACTAGTCTAGCAGCAACTAGCAATAGAATTCAAGTGTTAATTGCAATTGTCCAAAATATCCCGGATGCTAGCACACGAAAATATACCTTGAAGGTGTTCTACAAAATCTACAATCATCTTTAATTGTTGTTATACAACATTACTGTGTAATACAAGTATACTCTAATTGTGTAAAACCTTACATGGAAAATACCTAATATACGGTGTAGAAATACTGTACTTTTCCATCACCCATTAGAAATATAGCACCAATATTTTACTTTGAAAACAATGACCACCACCTTGTCTTTGTCTCACAATTATTTACAGTCACTTTTACATTAATCTTCAACTGATTCAGCTGAGCTGTATTGTATTATATTTTGATGGTAAAGGCAGATTGTGACATCATTGACAAAAGCATCAACCTCTATAACAGTCCAGCAGTCTGTTCTTCACTACATCATTCAGATCCTTCTGTAGATAGACACACAAAGCAACTGTCAGAAAACAACACAATATGACATAATAATTCGAGAAAACAGCCACCACCATACACGTACATGTACAAAGCTTGTAGCCACCTTAGCTATGAAGAAAAGACCAAATTAGACCAGAAAGACCAGAAGATAATTATACAAAGACAAAAAAGACCAGAAGATAATTATACCAACAATACTCAAAATGAGATATTGACAGTTGTGTAGTGATACCATTATCAGAGAGTAGCAGGCATTTAGAGAAGGAAAACTACATTGTGCTCAGATGGAAAACACCATTTCCAAGTCACCTTAAAGTAACCACATTGTCAACCACCAACAACTACTGACCTTGAAAATTGACAGTCTGAGACCAATATTATTCAAGGAAGAGAGGGAGAAGCCAGGAGTCACAGTCACCATCACATCCAAGTGCAGAGAGAGAAGCATCATCAAGAACATGCTACTGTACAGTTTTACATGTAGTTTGAGATGAAGTAAGCTTGAAGAGATGTGCTAAGATGCTAAGTGCAGAAAGCATAATCTTAAGACAGGACAGGGTTACCTGTTTCTTGTATATGTCAACTGTTCAGCGATCAAGTGAATTACCATAGCCCCATCTCTATATAACAGCAGCATGGGAAGGAGAAAGGTACAATTAGTCAAACGAGCTAGTACACTGTACATGTATGTACTGTCAGACAGCTCAACAACCAGGATACAACGTACTCAGAAAAATCAAATCAAAGATTCTTCAGTTGGATGCTGTTCACAGCAGACTTAGTCCGAAAACATTTTAAAGAACTCAAAAGACCTCCACCACTAAGTCTTGACGTATGTAGTGTGATAAATGCACAATTATCAGGTTCTGACAAATAATGACCTACGGTGCAACAAAATTCCACAGGCAACATGCAGCTACAAAAGCGGACCTTCACCACTAAAAGTAGACATGCTGTCTGTCATCAGTGAAAAAAAAACACCACCACAAAACCACCACAACCATTACAATTTTCATATTAACCAACTGAAAATTATGAAGAACCATTTCAGCTGTGCCTAATAATTAACATGTGCTAACTACATAAAACTTCTAAACCAAGCTTTTACTAATGGTGATGCAAATGTGCAAAACATCTGATCACTGTGATTGAACTGTAATGCCACCACCTTCACCAGAGGAATATGAGTGAGTTACGTGATGTGCTACCTCCAGATTGTCTCTGTTTTCCCCTGTGGGTGCAGTCACTCCTACAGGTGCAAATGCTTCATTGTGTCCCTTTGTCTTCTTCCCTTTCTTATCTCCCTTCAGGAACGGGAAGAACCGACTCTTCTTCAGTTTACCGACCTTTTTCGGTTTTCCCGGCTCGTCCTCCCTGACGTCGTGGTCTGCGAACGTTAGCGGTTGTTCGCGATCTTGCGAGTAGTCTCCTTCGGGATACCTGTTGGCAAAACGGGCGCTGACTGGAGGCCTTGACGTGTCCATGGGTTCTGGTGGTGGATATGGTCTTGAGTACGGGTTGCTTCCTGAGCTGCTTGCACTTGACCTTCTCCTGCGTGGTGGAGCGACAGGGGAGGGTGGAGACGGCTGTGTTTGCGGAGGAGGAGGATTGACAGGAGGATGCGAGTGATGCGCCATGCTGTCTGGTGTGGGAGACTTGGGTCGAGCGTGGCTGGACGTCGCGTAAATCGGCACAGCTGTACTGCTGTGCGAGCTTGGCCGAGAAGCGTCCAAGACCAGACTAACGTCGTCGCTGCTTCTCCCGTTGTCGTACTTGTAGGTGATGACCCTGTCGGAGCGTCGACTGCCCACTGACTCGGCCGGTGTGGATGGCCTACTGCCGGACTTTACAATCATCTGGGAGGGCCTGTGGTCTTCCCTGTGTAAAGGAACAACCTCGTGGATTCCGTTGGCGTGGGTCCACTGGATGTCTGGTGGGATGGGAGGTTCGTGCCTGCTTCCTGATGTCATCTCAAGTGTCTTTGGTGTGTCCAGCTCATCTGTTGGAGACAAAGGCTTGGGAGCCGAACCTTCCCTTTCATAATGTGTCGATGGGAACTGCATGGCCGGTCTCCCCACACCAGAGATACCAGAGATCGAGGAAGCTTTATCGTCCTCGTCCTCGCTTGCCTGCTGTGAACCGGGCTGGAAGTATGCCTGTCTTGAGGTGGCGTCAACAACTTCTCCAGGCATACTTTGCCCAGTTTTTGACATGTACAGCTTTTTTACCTCGCCATTTTCAACATAGGTGATGTACATCTCTCCTGGCAGGACAGCGCTGCTATGTTGGACACTTCCATCTTGTTCTGGAAGAGGAATATCGTCTGCCCTTATGAACTTTAACCCTGAAAGATCAGGAGGATGTTCACCAACCAGTACGGACGATCCTCTTGAAGACTGAGGTCGTCGGTAATACCTCTGTTTTAACTTTCCGTCTTCGAAATACGAGATTCGCATCTCATCTGGTCCGACAGCGGAGTTGCCGCCTACCGTCTCCTTCTTTATGACGGTCCAGTCTTGCACTCGACTGAAGTCAAAGGCTTTCCTCTCTTGCCTTGCCTGTGTCCAATCTGTAATTTCTTGAGGCATAGACTTGGGTAGATTTGGATAGACTTGGGAGGCTGCAGGGCTTGCTTGAGTCCAATTTATAGTGTCTTGAGGTATTGAATGCCTGGGCACTTGGGGAGCTGACCGGATTTCTTGAGGGACTGTTACTCTGGGGGATTGCCGCACTGCATCCTCTTGCCTCACAGGACTGCTCTTCACAAAATAAGTGTTGCGAACCTGCACAGGTAAGGCTGCACTGATGTACGTTTTCTCTTCGGGGACGTTGGATCCCGGCTGATACTCGTGCACTGTCCAGGTTGCAACCCTTGAAAAGTCAAAGGGGATGTAGTGCGGCTCTTCCGGTACCCTCGCTTTCTTTTCTACTTCACTTCTGCGTCCAATAGTCCAGTGCATCAACCTACTGAAGTCAAAGGCAAATGGCGGCTTGTCCTCTCGATAGGAGATCTTTGTTGTGGTCCGAGGTCTTTGCATTTTTAGGAGACTCCGGTGGTCCAGGGATGTAGATGTAAGTCCACCCGTCTTTCTGCACAATTTTCTCCTGATGAAGGCCACCCGATGTAAGCTCCATGATTAGTTCGCTGTCCAGACTTTCATCCCCCTCCCGTTCTATTGCCCCCTTGTCATATTCCTAGCCGAGGTCCACTGCTTGGTGAGGTACCCAACATCAGGAATACTTCCAACCGTCGCTCCCTCCCTTTGCGTCCTTCTGCGGCCACTTTTCTGCGTCGACTGGAAGATGTCAGCATAATCATACACATCACCTTCCTCCTCTTCGACAGTTGAGTGCAATGGGTTATACCTGATGATGCCCTGCTGCATGAGGGATTCAAGCTCTCCTGTAACCTGTAGCTCTGCTGGTACCCAGTTGCTGTACAGCGTGTCGACATCCGCTCTCTGGTACTCGTCGGAAATCACAGTTCCAGTGGACGCTACCCGGCGCTGTGTGGGTGGAATCCGTGAAGTTTGCTCAAGCGGGGCCTTCCCTTGAGCATCCTGGACTTGTCGCACGTATATATTCCTCAGCTGTGGCCCATCACCAACTTGAAACACCTGTGTGGTCTGTAGCTTCTTCAGCTCATATGACGGACCAAAATGAATCATGCCCTCTTGTACGTCACAGAAAGGACAATCTGGGATAGATGGAAGGTTTTCCCCTTCTATGAAGGCCACGGATCCATCCGAGTTTTCTACCAGCTGTGCGACAACTTCTTGGATCTCACATGCAGGATCCCTCGACTTGGAGGATCTCTGTATCCTACTGATGGCCTGGTGGATATCCTCGTGGGTCAAAACCTCCCTTGCAACTTTAGGCCTGAGGTCGGGTAGTTCAGTGACAGACTCGAGCCTTGACTTGGACACATGGCTTTCGGTTGCTGAATATGCACGGTGCGAATCATGTTGCTGCCTGTGAAGTTTTGGTGTTTTATCCTGTGGAAGTAGACGCCACATGGTGGTCTTAGGCATCAAAGGAGGGACTTCCCTTTGGATCTCAAGGTTGTCCCTTAAGATGGTCTCCTGGCCTGCGTGCATTTTGTGGCTCTGTACATGCTGGGGCGTGTATCTGACGGAAGACTCCGGCTGGGGTTAAGGACTCCTTTGCAGCATTGGAAGACAAAGGCGGAATGTTTGATATGATTTCCACCTGTTCACGCACAGAACCTTCCCTGGGCATTTGCTGCGTCTTCAGCTGTGCAGCGTGCACCTTTTCCATGACTTCAGCTGGTACAATGCCTTCACTTGCAGCTTGTGTGGGAATAGGGGCAACGGCTGATATCACTTCGGCCACCACATCTGACATCGATCCCTCTCGAGCAGCTACCATCTTGGGTGGTGCGACTTTGATCCATGTCTGCGTTCTTGGTGGTTCCACCTGCTGGTACCTTTCCAACTGTACACGTTGCTGTCTTGCAGACTGTTCGGTTACCGTAGGCATACCGTGAACAGTCTCTTCGGGTATTTCCATGCGAATCTCGCGAGTCTGTGTGGGAATGACCCTCTTCAAGGCTCTCTCCTGTTGCGCCCTTTCCAGTGGTATCATCCTAACCTTGTGAAGTGGCATGGGTATCGGTGGAATGGTGTACACCACTTCATCCCTAGTCTGCATACTGCTGTCCATCGCGTGTCTCATTTTAGGAGGGGGCACATGAACCCAGGTTTGGGTCTGTGGGGCGGGCACCACATTTCTATAGTTTTCGTATGGGAGATCTTCCCCTATTGCTACACTGGTCCTTGGACTGTCAAATTCAGTCACCCCCACTCTCGGCTCTTCCAGTATGTTAGTCTCTCTTCCATAGTGTGGGCGTAGCTCTGTCTGGGCCCTGTTTGCATGTGCTTGGCCGAGATTTGCTGATGGAACCCGGATGATTCTTGCGGCTCCCTGTGGAGCGCCAGGAGGAATGAAGTACACATATTCATGTCTCGTATCCATACTGCCCTCCTCAGCGTAATGTGGATGTAGCATGGACCTGAACTCATCCGCTCGGACTTTCTGAAGACTGAGGACTGGCACTTCAGTAGATTCTGCTGTGCTAGTCGGTTTAGGGACAACGGTGTACAAGTAAACGTACTCTTGCTTTTCGTCAATGACTTGTTCTTGCCCGAAGTATGGATGCAGTTGTGTCCTGATGTGTTGGGACTGTGCTGTTTCCATTGCTTCTGAGGGTATCGAACCAACATTTGCTGAATCACCACGAGATAAAGGTGGAATTTCTTGAGCAGACAGCTGCCTTGTGCCAATCACTTGCTCTTGAGCATAATACGGATGCAGTTGTGTCCTGATATGCTGGGACTGTGCTGTATCCATTGTATGTGAAGGTATGGCCCCAACATTTGCTGAATCACCCCTTGTAACAGGTGCTATTTCTTCAGAAGACTCGTGTTTCGTTTCCAGCACAATCTCTTCTGCGTAGTACGGTTGCAGCTCAGTTTTTACAAATTGTAGCAGAGCCTGCTCCCAATGTTCTTCTGGCTCGAGGCTCTGCCTTCCAGTTTCACTTGGTACAACGGGAATAGTTTGTACCCTCTCCTCTATAGTTTGCATAGTGCCTTCTTCCCCAGTGACAAAGTTTGGAAGCAGCTTTGTCTGGGTCCTGTCTGCCCGTGCTTGACCGAGCTTTGTTGATGGAACCCGGATGATTCTTGCGGCTCCCTGTGGAGCACCTGGAGGAATGAAGTACACATATTCATGTTTCGTATCCATGCTGCCTTCCTCAGCGTAATGTGGATGTAGCATGGACCTGAACTCATCTGCACTGACTGTCTGGAGACGTAAGACTGGCACTTCACTAGATTCTGCCGTGTGCTGAGGGACAACGTTGTACAAGTAAACATACTCTTGTTTTTCATCAATGACTTGTTCCTGACCAAAGTAAGGATGTAGTTGTGTCCTGACATGTTGCAACTGTGCAGTGGCCATTGCTTCGGAAGGTATGGAACCGACACTTGCTGAATCCCTATCTGGACCAGATGGTAATTCTTCAACTGATATCTGCTTGGTGTCAATGACTTGTTCTTGGGCAAAGTAAGGATGCAGTTGTGTTTTGATATGTTGCAAGCGTGCAGTAGCCATTGCTTCTGAAGGTATGGAACCAACACTTGCTGAATCCCTATCTGGTCCAGATGGCAATTCTTGAACAGATATCTGCTTGGTGTCAATGACTTGTTCTTGAGCAAAGTAAGGATGCAGATGTGTCCTGATATGTTGCGACTGTGCGGTAGCCATTGCTTCCAAAGGTATGGAACCAACACTTGCAGAATCTCTATCTGGTCCAGATGGTATTTCTTGAGCAGACACTTGCCTTTCATCAATTACTTGCTCTTGAGCGAAGTATGGATGCAGTTTTGTCCTGATGCGTTGGGATTGCGCTGTTTCCATTTGCTGTGACGGTATGGAACTTACACTTGCCGAATCACCCCTTGCAACTGGTGGTATTTCTTGTGAAGATAGTTGTTTCGTTTCCAGAACTATCTCTTCTGCATAGTATGGTTGCAGCTCAGTTTTTACCCATTGCAGGAGAACTTGCTCCCAATGTCCTTCTGGCTCGAGGCTCTGCTTACCAGTTTCCCTTGGCACAACTGGAATGGTGTACACTTTCTCTTCTACAGTTTGCATGGTGCCTTCTACCCCAGTGACAAAGTTTGGAGGAGGGACGTACACGTGTGTTTGGTTCTGAGCCTGCTGGGTGACTTTCTGGTACACCTGAAGTGGGATGTCGAAACCCTGTGCCATCTGCGTTGGGAGAGGAGCGAGGTCAGAGATGACCTCCATGCTGATCATGTTTAGGATGGTCTCATCAGCAGCATGGAGACCCCAGCTCTGTCTCTACCTGCCCAGCCTCTGCAGTCTGCATGGTTCTGTGGGCACCACGCTTGCCTTTAGAGTATGTCTTTTAGGCAGTGGCGGCACCAGTGGTACTGCTTCTTCCTTCATCCCTTCCACCCCTTCTGTTCCCTGATTCATGACGACAGATCGAGCAACTTTTGCCTCCTCCATTTTGACCTCTTCCATGCTTTGACTTGCAGTAGATGGTTCCAATGGCTCAATATTACTGGCGTGATATTCAATCACATCTACGAACACTTCTTTACCAAGGTGCAGTTTGGGAGGCGCTGCGTGTACCCAAATCTCGACCATTTCGTTGATCTGTGCCTGTTGGAACACTTCGTCTGGTTCGCTCCGCACACGTGCCACCTGAGTCACCAACGGTGCTACCTTTTTGTATCCTTGTTCTTTGACATGTAGAACGCCATGTTTGGCTTTGTGGAGAGACTGGTGCGTCCCTGTTTTGGTCAAAGCAGCCTTGTGTTTTTGTTCTTCAGCCACGACCTTTGGAACGGCTCTGTCCATTGGTTGCGACACAGCTGGCAAATCAATGGCCACCTCTGAACTCTCTTTCACGACTTTCTCTGCAATCACATTCAGAAATAGTTGCTTGGGCGTAGGTTTCTCACCGGCAGACTTCATGACTAACGGAGACAGATCAAACGCTTCTTCAATGATAACTTCGTCTTTTCTTTCCTCGTAGACTTCTAACTTTGGAAGTTTGAGGTGATGGAGTTCGGCTGCAAAGACATCCACTGTGTTAAATCTGGTTTGATCGATGAAGCCTAGATCTGCCATTTTCATGTCCAGCTCACTCACATCACTTGCGTGATCTTCGCTAAGTTCCTCCTGAAGCTCCTCAGCGAACTTGATATCCATCTTCAAGCTTTGAATTTTCTCTGCACTGAGAGCTTGCTTTGGCAGCTTTGGAATCAGGCCAAGTTTGGCTGCCCTTTTGAGGATTTTAGGCAATTCACCCGTTTCTTCCAGAGAAAGCTCTTCGACTTTTTCTTTGAGTTTAAATCGTGGAGCACGATTTGCGGGAGGCGCAGAGCGCACTTGCCTCGCTGGTTCTATCTTCTGCATCTCCATCGGTTGAAAGGCTTCCTCTATCTTGGGTGTACGTGCGCTGGCCTTGTTGAGTTGTCCAAGTGCTATGCTTGGTTTGGCTTTACAGAGTTCAACCTTTGGCAGATTCAGGTCCTTTGTTTCTTTGAGTTTCCTTAAGTTGGCTTCCGTGGCTTTGTGTACAGGCTTCTTAGGAACAGGAACAACTTGTGGGGAGTTGATATAAATGGTCTGCACCTTTTCACCTGGAATGAGCTGGGCTTCAGTACTGTCAAACTCAACGACTGATATGTTGTCGTCCACATCCGATTCATGGACGTATGCCGTATTTTGAACGGATTTCAGATACAATGGACTCTCGCTTCTCTGCAGTCCTTCCTCGGCACTGCGAACGTCTACCTTTTCCAGCGGCACTGCCTTTGCTCTATCTGTGGAAAATCCTGGGAGTTTTTCATATGACTCTGGGTGCGAGTTGGCTTTCTTTAGTTCTGCTTCGATCAAATCTATGTCTGCCCGTACCATATCCAGCGCTGCCCTGTAAAATGCTGGTTCGACTGGAGCAAATTCCACAGCCTCCATGTTCACGACTGGAATCTCCTCTTCAACTTCTTCATAATTGACATGGACCTGGTGTTGAACGGGCTGGTGGTATCGAGGCATTTCAAGTTCCAGTTCCTCATGACTTGCCCGGTACATATTCAACATCACCTGTGCGTGGACGCTTCTCTGGAACGTCAGAGGCGGCACTTCCCCTTCTTGTTCAAAATGCAGTCTGGCCTCTTGTTCTTGCACCTGTAGGTACTGCGGCTTTTCCGATCTCTCCCAGTTTGTCTGATGCTGATAAAGATTTTGTTTCACGGCATAAAATACAGGTCTGTCGAAGTTTGGTAGAGGTGGAGCTGCTGTGGTATGATCCTCTTGGAGGAACTGCTGCTTCTGGATACCGTGTTTATACCTCGGTGCTTCTGCTTGAACTAACTCGAGATTCGCCCTGAACTTCTCAAAGACGACATGGCCTGTGACGGATGACTGGTACGACACTGGTGATATCCTACCCGTTGACTCTTCTTGTGTCTCACTTTTGTTCATTGTGGCTTTGTGTCGAGCTGCTTGTGCTTTCACTTTCATAGCGGCTGCTCTAAGTGTCTTCATGGTGGTATTACTGACAGCTGCTTGTCTGAATGACGGAGCACGAGACAGTTTTCCGTCTGTGGTATCCTCCTGTATGTACTGATTTTTCACAATAGCCTGGTGATACCTGGCCTTCTCTGCTTGAACTTGCTCAAGACTGGCCTTTGACTTTTCCATGACAATCTTTCCATACCTGACAGAGTCAAAGGAAACAGGCGACACTTTACCTGTGGTACCTTCTTCTAAAAATGCATTATTCACCTTGGCCTGATACTGCGGCAACTGGGCCATAACTTTCATGGCATTTGCTTTGTGTGTGTCCATGGCAACCTGGTCCATTTCTGCTTTCCTGAAGGAAGGAGTGCGTGACAGCTTTCCTTCGATCCTGTCTTCTGGAACGTACTGATCCTTTACAATAGCCTGATGGAACCTGGGAGCTTCTGCTATCACCTGTTCCAGGCTAGCCTTCCACTTGTCCAAGAAAATCTCCCCAAACACTGCCGATTCAAATGAAAGTGGTGATACCCTACCGGTAGAACCCTCTTTCAGTGATTCGTAATTTTCAGTGGCCCTGTACTGTGGAGCCTGTGCCTTTACGTGGTGTTCAGTGGCTCGGAACGTGTCCATCAAAGCTTGCCCAAGCACGAGATTCTGGAGATTTGGGTTAGGAGGGATCTCTCCTTCTGTCCTTTCCTCCCAAAACAGCTGCTCTTGAACTATGGCTTGGTGGTACCTTGCTTCTTCGGCCTTGATCTTCTCCAAGTTTGCTTTCCACTTTTCCATGAAGATGTGACCCAGAGATGCAGCTTCAAATGCTACTGGAGACACTCTTCCCGTTTGTTCCTCCAGCAATGATGCGTGACCCTCCCTGGCCCAATGTCGAGGTACCTCTTCCCTTACTTCATATGCTGCAGCTCTGAATGTCTCCATGAAAGCCTCCCCCAACATGAGCTTCTCCATAGAGGGCTCTGGTGACAGCCTCCCATCTATTACTTCAGATCTCATATACTCATTAGAGACAACACTTTGAAGGTACCTTGGTTTCTGTGAGTCAATTACAGACAAGTCTGCACTCATCTTTTGCAGCAAGATTTCCCCCATCATGGCACCTTCCAGGGTGAATGGTGATATTCTTCCAGTAGATTCCTCACGTAGAGCTGTCTGCCCTTCCATGGCATAGTGCCTTGGTGCTTCTGCTCTGATGTGCTTTGTGGTAGCCTTGAATGTTTCCATCAGTGTCTGTGCTGCTACGAGGTTGTCGTATGACGGCTCTGGGGACAGCCTACCATCCACCCTTTCTTCCCCAACGTATTCATCCGAGAGGATGGCATGCAGGTACCTTGGAGAGGAACCTCTCACCAGGTCAATTTGGGTTCTCCACTTTTGCATGAGGATCTCCCCAAGTGCAGCCCTTTCAAACGAGACAGGAGAGACTTTCCCGGTTGACTCATCTTCCAAAGAAAGTTCGCCCTCCATCGCGACATGTCTTGGTACTTCTTCCCTGACTTCTTGAGACGCTGCACGGAAGGTTTCCATCAGTACTTGAGCTGTCACCAGGTTCTTAAAGTTTGGCTGAGGTGAAATTCTACCGTCCACTTCATCCTCATACAGAAACTCATTTGAAGTGATCCCCTGGTGGTATCTTGGTGTTTCTGCCTTCACTCTGTCAATGTTTGTTCTCCACTCCTCCATGAAGACTCGATCAAAGGTAACACTTTCGAAAGATACAGGAGAAATTCGACCAGCTGATTCTGACTCCCCGGAAGTTCGCCCCTCAGTGGCAAAGAAACATGGCACCTCTGCTCGGACTTGGCCTGAAGTCGCCCTGAATGTTTCCATTAGGGTTTGCGCTGCAAACAGATTTTGGAGGGTAGGTTCAGGGGACAGTCTACCATCAACTTTTTCCTCCCCTACATACTCGTCTGACATGATAGCTTGGTGGTATCTCGGTGAACTGGCTTTGACCAGATCGATGTTGGTTCTCCACTGTTCCATGAATGTCTCTCCCAAATCAGCTTTCTCAAATGAAAATGGGGACACTTTTCCAGTAGATTCTTCTCTCCATGGCATTTGACCTTCCTTAGCCATGTGTCGCGGCACCTGCTCTCTAACTTGCTCAGAGGTTGCCCTGAACGTTTCCATGAGTACTTGGGCTGTTAGCAGATTATCAAGAGTTGGCTGGGGAGAAATTCTCCCGTCTATTTCTTCCATTCCGACAAATTCATCTGAAATATAGCCATGGTGGTACCTCGGAGCTTGTGCCTTGACTTCGTCAAGGTTTGTTCTCCATTTCTCCATGAACACTTCACCTAAGGCCACACTTTCGAAAGTGACAGGAGGGATGGTACCGGTGGACTCCTCTGTGTCTGACGTACGACCTTCCCTTGCCACATGTCGTGGTTTCTCTGTTCTCACGTGCTCAGAGGTCACCTTGTATGTTTCCATTAGAACCTGAGCTGCTAACAGGTGCTCAGCTCTCCCGCTAGGTGAAATTCTCCCATCTATTCCTTCCTCTGCAACAAATTCGTCCGAGACAAATGCATGGTGGTATCGTGGAAGTCGAGTTTTCTGCTCCTTTGTAATTGCTTTGAATTTCTTAATGCAGATCTCACCAAAAGTAGCATTTTCAAATGAAACAGGCGAAATAGTACCGGTGGAGTCCTCTGATGTTTGGCCCTCCCTGGCAAAGTGTTGCGGCACCTCTGCTCGGACTTTGTCAGAAGTTGCCCTGAATGTCTCCATCAGGACCTGGGCTGACAGCAGGTTTTTAAAAGTTGGCTGAGGAGACAATCTCCCATCAGCCTCTTCTCTGCCGACGTACTCATCTCCAATGACAGCGTGGTGATATCTAGGTGAACTCGCTTTGACAAGGTCGATGTTTGTCCTCCATTTTTCCATGAAGATCTCTCCCAAAGTGGCACTCTCGAATGAGACGGGGGACACTCTGCCTGTCGATTCCTCCCTATGTGATGTTTGATCTTCCTTGGCCATGTATCGAGGTATCTCTTCTCTGACTTGCTCTGTGGTTGCCTTGAATGTTTCCATCAAGACCTGAGCTGTAAGAAGGTTCTGGGCAGTTGGCCTGGGTGATATTCTTCCGTCTATCCACTCATCCGCTATGTATTCGTCCGACAGAATGCCTTGGTGGTACCTCGGAACTCCAACCTCCTCCTGTTTCAGGATTGCTTTCCACTTTTTCATAAAGACCTCCCCAAAGTCGGCACTTTCAAAAGATAACGGAGAAATTTTCCCTGTGGATTCTTGTGGGAAGTCATTTTCTGTAGCATGGTATCTGGGCTTCTCCAGAGGGACTTCTTCAACATTGGCTTTGAATATGTCCATCAGGGCCTGTCCAACGACCACATTTTGAGGATGCGGTGGAGGGGTGACTTTTCCATCGATGGATTCACGACTGATAATTTCGTGTTGGACAATCCCTTGGTGATACCTGGCCGTCTCTGCTTCTATAGTTTGTAAGTCAGCCTTCCATTGGTCGACAAAGACTTGTCCAAGCAGAGCGTTTTCAAACGAGACGGGCGAGAATTTACCGGTGGATTCTTCTGGAACATATGATTGGTTCTCGTTTGCAAAAAAACGAGCATGTTCCGACCTCCTAACTCCAGACTGTGTTTTGAAAGATTCTTGTCTCATCAACTCTACGGCAGCTTTGTCAAAACGTTCACTTCTGATGGTGCCATCAATTTCTTCCTCTGCTGCATACTCTCTGGAAACAATTCCTTGGTGGTAACGTGGGTCCTCGGTCTCTACCGCCCCTGCTTCCGCCCGGAAAATATCCATCAGTGTCTCTCCAATAAGGATAGACTGCAGGGAAGGGGTGGGGCTAATCTGTCCATCTTCTCCTTCTTCTGTGACGTAACCTTCCGAAACCATAGCCTTCAGATACTCGGGACTACTGGAGCGAAGTTCACCTGTACTGTGCTCCCACAGGACTTGTTTTACCTGCTCCCCCATCAACCTCTCCATTTCGATTCTCTCGCTGTCTTCATCGTAATCCTCCTCACGTAGATATGCCAGGTCTTCCACTGAGTGGAGGTATCGTGGTGATTCAGATCTGACCTTCTTAGCATTCGGTCTATACATGTCCATGATTGCTTGCCCGTATGCCAGCATGTGAAATGGAAGGGGAGGAAGCTCCTCTTTCGTTTCTTCCAACTTAACGTGGGCCTTGCCTTCCTCCCCTTCAAGGTACTTCGGTTCTTCAAACACTACTTGTGACATTTCGGCTTCAAAGACTTCCTGCATGACCTCGTGAAGCTTGGCATGTGCGCAGGAGTCACAGTACCCAGGGAACTCACCATTCACCTGTTCCAGGTTGGTGTATATCGACCGCAGGACACCATTCAGATACTCTGCCTCCTCCACCTCTATTTCTTCTGTCTGTGGTTTGAATACCTCCTGTTCAACCACATTGATCTGTGCAGCCTGATACTGTAACTTGGGTACCTCATCCGTTTCCTCCATTGATGTCCATGCATTCTTGTTTTGTCCCCTTAAATACCGAGGTTCCCTGGACACCATCTCCTTGTCGATTGCGATGTGGAAGACGTCGTTCAACACCTCGTCCCAGGTCCCCATCTCAAGCGTGATTGGCGACACTCTACCCTCTCTCTCCAATGGCATGGCAGGAGCTTCATCCATTCGCAGCACGTGGTGGGGGATGATGACTTCGCTTTTTATTTCCTCCCAGTTTCCAAACGTCAGGATGTCTTCGTCCAACACGATGACATGGTCACCCTGCTGCTTCCGTATCTGAGGGATTTTGTCCATGATTCTCTCTATCGTGACTGGATCAACTTCCTTCTCCTGTGCATAGCTCCTGAACAGCAGGTCCTTGGATGGAATTGTGTAATACATGTCCCCCCTGTGGATTTTTACATCACCATGGCAGTGGTACTTCCCATCATCCTCTGGGTACAGGTCGGTATGGTGGTGCGAGCGACATTTTGGCCCATGCGGTTTTGACACGTCTAGCTCGTGATGAATCGGATGGCCTTCCTCCAGTTTTGGTGGCCTTGCCGTCATCGGCATTGGCGGCTTGTACAGCCTGTACAGACCAACCTGTTTGTTCTCGGTCTGTTCGGGACCAACTCGCATCGCTATGGCAACTGCTTTCTTGGGACTCGGCTGTTCCACGGGCTTCATTTGCCGCCTTCTTTTCCTCTTTTTTAGCTTCTTCAGTTTCTGGTATTGCTCCTGAAGCCTTCTCTGTCTCATCAGCCTCTCCTCGTAAACAATACGCTCTTTCAAGATCCTCTGCCTTTCTTCGATATTTGCCATCTCTTGGACCAAACATTCTTTCACCTTCCCCACATTTAATACCAGCTTTTCCGTCTCGTCCATGTCATGTCCCATCATGGTCAGGACCTGTCTGGTGTACTCACAATACGGACACGGCTCTTTTCGCTTCCGTTTGTAAAGTTTGCCTGTCCGACCGATGATGGGGGATTGCTGGGGACGAGGCTGCGGCGGATCATCCGTCGGATGATTCTCCAGCATCTTTTGTGTTACGTATTCCTTGATGGATTCTTTGCGACCTACCCTGGGTGACTTTGCCGGGGTGGCATTTTCGATTCCAGAATCAGCGTCCTCAAACTCATTTCTTTCGGTGAACGACTCTGTTCTGAGCTGTGACGTTGGAAGGAAATGATCACAAGTCAAGAAAACACAATATGCTAACAAAGCCCCTTTAACCATTGGACATATCTAACCATCTACAGTGCACCATTGACAGCTTTCAGCATTCCTGGTAACTACTTAGAAGCAGCTCACCTTTCAGAGCAAAAGTTTCATCTGACGATCTCAAACCTAAATGCCCACATTATGAAGCATCCATTCTTACTACAAAGTACATCAAATTGGAATTTCCAAAAGCAACTGATCATGACAAGCAAGCAGGCTTTCTTCCATGCCATTCAACAGCCTACAAGACTCTAGATAGACTTAAACACAAGACGACATCTGATAGATGATGCATTAGAAGAGGAAAGGACAGGATAGGGTGCAATCAAAAACACCATGAACCGAACCTTGACCACCAGTTACAACGTTATTAGGCAGTCGACAGATAACAACACACACAGGGCAGCGTTTGCCACCAGTGCACCAGAGAGACAACAAAAGAAGAGCCACGTCCACATGAGGGTGTGTTAGGGGTACCTTGGTACGTTTGACCTTCCGTTTAACTTTGTGTTTTCCCCTATCAGGAGAGCCGAAGAGTCGGAAGCCCTGCTTGATATAGATGCGCATGGGCCCGCCCCGTGCTTTGATCTGTGAGGGTGAGGACCGGGGATGACATAATGATAAGGTAGGAGGGTATGGAATGTATGAATGGGGATATGTGAGAGTTAGTATGAGTTAACAGTTAACAATGATGTCAAAGGTAAACAATGCAGTTATCCTGCATAAGTGTGTAATGCTGTTTACAACACCAAATACATGTAACATCTGAGATGCTTTCATGCTCAGATTAATGTTTCGTCTATATTTCTTAGATTGAGAACTTTGAGAAGTATCACCACTTTGAGAAGTATTACCAAACATTTGAACAAAAGGTTCAAAAAGATGCATATCAAGAGTTCTTTGTGCCCAAATCAATCAAATCTGACTTCTACTCTAAAATGTAGGTAGTGTACTAGAAATATGAAAAAAAAAATTTTTAATTGACATCCTGTGAAATTGTCCTGCAACATGAAAATGCAAGTCCAAAGCAACTACGAACCTAAGTCACGTACAATGTCGTGTATTTGACAAAGTTATCCTTTCAAGCGCACTAGACTGACTATTTTCCCTAAGGCATGCGGTGTTGTAGCTCATTCAGTGTTTACATGCTGTTCCTATAAGGAATGGCTCAAGAGATACCTTTGTGTACTAAGTCTTTACAAAATACTTAAAGCAAAGAATTTCAGGTAAGTCCTTGTGTGGTAACAATGCTGGGTGTGGCAAAAACGTGGCATTCAGTGATGTGACAACACGTGACGCCACATGCCTCAATTAATTCAGCCACATGTGTGGAAAACTTAATCTAATGTAAATGTTACTGTGACTGTTACTGTAGAAAAAGCTTTTCACTTTGAGAAGTATCACCATTGCTTGTGAGAAGTAAAACCAAATAATACACGTGAATTATACCTATGGAGACAGCATACCTTAGCACGATGCCAACACCACCACCACCATCACCAGAATAAAACATGGTTAGAAGAGACATCTGGGTTCAGTGAAGAATACTGACAGAGGGACACCAAAACATCACATTCTTAATAACTAAAAATATTGCAATTCATTACAGTAATACGTGTATACGCCACGGTGCTAAAAAAAATCTAATTGTGACCCTTTAAAGAAGAAAAACCCAACAAAACTTGTGTACAAAAACTTAAGAGTGCTATATTTTATGTGACTCGACACTGTGTCTATATCTTAAGCATTATCTGCAACTTAGATGGGCCCCAGAAATCCCAGTGATATACATGTACACTGTAAATTTTTAAGTAATCATTATGTTATTAACATTGCATACATACTGTGCTTCCTTGTTACGATTACTGTACTTGATACTGTATTAAGGTTAAAGTTCCTTCACAGAAATTGGATATTCAGTCCATACATCTCTACATTACTTCAGGAATGAACTTGTCTGTTTATTGATTTATGATTTTAAAAGATGTCTAAAGCTGAACTTAACCATTCAAAAGTGGCTGGTACCTTAATGTTTATCAACCACAAATTGTCTTTATGTTTACCTTTCTTACATGTATATATACACTTATACACTAAGAGATTAACATAATGATTATGTTCCACTGGAACGTTTAAAATGATTGTTTTGATAACTGTAAAGTTTGGAATGTAAATTGTACAAACTGGGTGGGCTTGCTGGTGCCAGTGTACCAAGTAAACCTTCATGAGTGTGTGTGAGGTGAATCATAATTCATCTGTGCAGTAACTGAGGTGTGAATGTACTGCTACATGTATGCAGTGTGTGTCTGAGACCATGCAGCAAATCATGTCATATTCTGCAGACATCTGCAGCTGATTGGGTACATGTTCTTGCAGACATCTTCAGCTGATTGTGTGCATGTTCTTGCAGACATCTGCAGCTGATTGTGTGCATGTTCTTGAAGACATCTGCAGCTGATTGTGTACAATGCCATGTTCTTGCAGACATCTGCACCTGATTGTGTGTGTGTTCTTGTAGACATCTGCACCTGATTGTGTGTGTTCTTGTAGACATCTGCAGCTTATTGTGTGCATGTTCTGCAGACATCTGCAGCTGATTGTGTGCATGTTCTCTAGACAACTGCAGCTGATTGTGTACATGTTCTTGCAGACATCTGCAGCCTATTGTGTACATATTCTTGCAGAAATCTGCAGCTGATTATATCCATGAGTGGAGTACTTACAGCTGGGGAGCTGTCGGTAGACGTGGCTGATGATGCGCTACTGTGAAACTCCTGTGAAGTACAATATGCACAGTAAGGAGGAGTAGTCTGCATAAGCTGGTTCATGATTCAAACATGCAACGTGTGATCCATTTTGAGTATAAAAGTCATGAAAGTTGAAGGCCCCTGAGAAATAAAGAAATAGGTCTGGACAGTTGTACCAAGCATGGTCTATACAAGAACTGTTCCAGTATCACGTAAGATAAAATATGAAATTTTACTTCGTATAGGAAACGAAATATATATCATAATCTATACATCTCTCAATTTTTGCTACTAGAGGTGATAAAAATCATTATTGTACATGTATACCTAGACCTTAAAACAAATTGTGTACTGTGTGTGGCCATGGCCACATCACAAAACCTAGTGTACATCTTAGTACGATGTACTTCCTTAGGTTAACAGTTAGAAAGTGTTAAACACTGCAGACAGGACAGGTTAGTACTGACCTCTTCCACCTCCTCCTCAAAGGTCTCTTCCACAGTTCTGATGACCGTCTGTGTGAGAGATGGCAAACCACACGTCATGCAAAAACCACACGTCATGCAAAAACCACACGTCATGCAAAAACCATACATGTACGTCATGCAAAAACCACACGTCATGCAAAAAACACACATCATGCAAAAACCATGCTTCATGCAACTTCAGACCATGCACCAAGTAAGTTACATGTGTATGTATGTTTAATTTCGCGCCAAATTTCTTGGCATGTCTTGTGCCAATAACAGGCCTTTAAAGTTCTTTCATTGCATTTAGTTTTGGGCTGTTTTCAGCCAAAAATTGTATATTTTAATGTATATTTTAATTACTACTAGGCTGAAATCCAGCCTTATTATCTATTGGTCTGCTGCCAAAAATTTGGTTCTCTATGGCTAACAAGCCCATTTGTACAGTGATTGAGTCAAAATTTTAAAATGTAGGGACCTTGTTTTTTTTGCCCGTTCGCCCGCTCGCATTAGATTTGGAGTCTGCGGAGGATGCCATCCATAAAATTTACTTGCTGTAACCTTAGACATGTTCAATGAGGATTTTTAGAGGCAACTATACAAAGGCCTTGGCTGACTGCCAGTGTGATGGAGACCTATGCATCTAAACTAGAATCAACATGAGGGAAAAATGGGTCTGCCCAACCGCCATTCCAGCCAGACTAGACTGAATTATAGGATTAAATCAGTGGAGTCATTACTCTGGTGTGTCAGTGGGATGGACGTAATCAGGGTGGCAAATAGTGCTGCATACCGGTTCACTGGACTTGGATTCGGACTTGTAAGAATGTTTAGGTTCAAGTCCAAAAAAACCTGAAAGTCAAGAACCGAGTCCAGACTTATTACCATAAAAGGCCATTTCACATACCCCTTTTCTTTCCAAACCACCTAAAACGTTCAGTAGATTGTAAAATCTTTGCTGCAAAATGAAGAAAACATTGCCATCGGGCATCGTCAAGTACCGGCCTCCATGTTATGTGACCAAAGTTTCACCCAGACAACATTGCAAGGTTGCCAACATGCAATTTTGTATATGCCATGGGTTTAGGTCCGGACCTACAAGTCCGGAACTGAACCTAAACCTCTGGACTTGAATCCGGACCTGAACCTGAAATTGGGTTTAGGTATGCAGTACTAGTGGCAAACTTTTCACAGAGGTGTCCATTTGGATTCAGGCCAACCTTCTGTCCTATCAAATACTGAGTCTCACAACACAAAAAAAGTTTTAGAAACTTTAAAAAGTGATTATCTTTTGTTCAACATCAGGGCTCGAAATACTGGGTGTATGTGCACCTTAGCGCACCCAAATTTGGAGCTGATACTTTCATAGGTTTACGTAAGTAACGGTTAGAATACACTAGCATACAGCATAAGTGTCACAAAAATAATAAAATCATTGTTGTAGTGCTTTTGTATTTTTCTTTAGACATGAAACATAATTAGTTTTTGTTGACATTCTACTTATTTCATTTTATATGGTGCACCCAAAAAATTCTTTGTGCACCCAATTTTTTAAGTTGGGTGCACCAGTGCACCTATTCCAAAAAATGAATTTTGAGCCCTGAATATCTATTGATATGGTCTAAAATGATTGCAGTTGCCTACAGTGTAAATTAGTTGTGTGACTTTGTCATTTTGTGAAGAATTTCCAATGGACCGCGTTTTCAGCACCAAGGACATTTCCCAGTCATCTTGCCATATGGGGAGCATTTAAGTTTCCCATTTATGCAAATGAGGAGTATGCGCAAATTACTTGCAAATCTCTTTTTTACCATATTGTCCTATGATAGCATGCTACATGTACATGTATTTCCTTTGTGTATACTGTATTTTTGTGCTTCCTGCAGTATTGTTCACCAATATGCCATTATAGTAAAAAGTTGAACTTTATTCCAACACACAATTTACAGAGAGATAAAATTTTCAGCGACCACTGTCACCTTCATCAGGATAATTAATGACCAATCACTTCACAACATGGTCTCACGAGAGTTATGGTTTACAAACACATGACCTTATTCACACGAGACATGCATGAAATTTACACACAATCCTTATTTGCATAAATGGGAGACTTTAAATGACTCAGATGAGTTCTGCAGGCATACAAATGTACAGTAACTGTAAATGTAAATGAGAAACAGTGTTCTGTACTTACCCTGGACCCATCCTCGTTCACCACCACCTGTTCCCCCACCACACGCTGCCCCAGCCTCGAGGATGACTCATCACCCATGGCCTATACAAAAGGTCAAAGGTCACATGAACCAGCCTAGATTTAAAACTCGAAACCACCCAGCACGTCGGCAGAATGTACTGCGCCTGCGCATAACCCCGTATTTTCGAGTTTTTCGTTGGATTTTGGTCAACGTTGCATCAGAATATTGCCTGTTGCAGAGGATATTCTTTCCTACATAACATTTGGAAACTACTGTCGAAATGCTAACCTTATATGAGCGAATACAACCTTATATGAGACATTCTGCTGAAGTGCTATGTACAACACATTTCGAGTTTCGCGCAGGTACAGTGCGTTCTGGCGATGTGATCCTAGATTTAAAACTCTAAAACACTCGTATCATTTATTTAGGTGAAATTCGGTTATTTTCAAGCTTTACGCCACACATATTTAGTCAATTGGTTCTCGGATTTGCCTGTTCATTTTTCTTTTGATTTACAAAAAAAGAAAAAAAGTATTCAGGTTCTGAATCAGCTCCAAAACACTCATATTTTGGTCCCAACAGTTGAGGAAAATCCTTTCCTTTCTAGTTGTTCTAATTCACTCTTTGAATTATAAACCAGTATGTTGACTTCATGGCTCCTATAAAAACATTTGGGGTGTCAATAAAAATACATACATGTAGGATGCCCAGTCTGTTTTTATTTTATTTTGCTCTGTTGCTTCATATCTTTTTCTGAGTCTGAGAACCAACAAATCAAATACAATGTAAGTGTGGCCTTAGGTGAAATTTTCTGACTCATTATTTCCAAGCTCCAGTCCAAAATTTGACTCATTGTTGCGAGACGTCAGACAACAGAGGCCTATAAGGCTACACCAATTTGATTTGTTGGTTCTCTGGTTTTTTAAGGAAAATTATGAAGCGACAGGGCGGGAAAAAGAATAAAAACAGACCTTGGCATCCTATGAGAGCCCTAAATGCTATAAAAGGAGCCATGAAGCAGGCCTCGAAATTAACTTTTTTCACTATTGTCCCAGAATTGTCCCGAACATAGATTTCAATTGTCCCGAACTGAAGATGGACTGTCCCAGCCTGCTTTTCAGGAAATAAGTTGATGACAAAAATAAGAAAACAACAACTGAATTTGTACAACTTGAAGTCCACTTTATTAGTAAATGTAGGGAAATACATGATAATATCATGGGCATGGCACCGTCCCTGATATTTGGAATCCCTGATTGGTCAAATTTAAATGTTTGTCAGAGTATTATATATTTATAATATAGGCTGCCAGCAGTCTGCAGCAGGATGGATGGATCGCATTCCCAAATGACGTGGATGGTCTTAGAATTTTCCAATTGCCCCAAAATTGTCCCGAAACGTAATTTGAATTGTCCCAAGCTGAAAATTTAGTGTCATTTGACACTGGGACAATGTTAATTTCGAGCCCTGCATGAAGTCAACATATACCAGGCTGGTTTGTAATTCAAACATTGTCATTATGAACTTAAAATTTTAATCAAACCACTGATAAATGGGAAAACTGTAACAACTCTGAAGAGAAGGGACTTCTTTTAACTGTTGGGGCCAAAATATGAGCATTTGGGACTTGATTCTGAGGTTGAAATGTTTTTGTTTTTTACTTTGCAAATCAGAAAGCAACAAATTAAATAGGTGTGGCCTAAGTTTGGGCATCAATCTTTTCTGCTCAACCAGGCTTTACCTGGTTTTATCAGTCTTCACAAACAGACCAATGTCTCAATTTTCCACTAGACATTCATTACATCTTTTGTCAACATTTTCATCTCAGGGTTCTAGCTTGCACAAAGTAGCGTAGGGGCCCCCTACGCTAAAATTTTGACCCTCTACGCTAAATTTCCCCCCCTACGCTAAAATTTTGACCCCCTACGCTAAATTTCCCCCCCTACACATACAGCATAGTGGCATTGTGACTCTATTTCTTTGTTCAAGAATGCCAGATCAAATGTGGAAAATAACCAATCAAGGATACATTGTACATACCTTAAAAATAACATTTTTTCCCTTTGGGTATCCCTCAAATGGCCCCTTTTTTAGCTCAAATTTTTAAAAGCTCCGCACCACGGAAGGAGGCCAGTACCACTACGCTAAAATTACATCCTAGCTAGAACCCTGCATCTTGTACTCTGTTTTATTCCGTGGCAAATAGAACCCTGGAGGATTCCAACAGACAGCAAGAAAAATGGACCAATTGTGGTACAAACCAAGGGGTGGCCAAACAAAATACATGAAGGTGTTCCATTTATTATGTATGCTACCTTTAGTTATACATCTTCATTTGCCTATCAAGCTGTTCTGGGAAGATGTATTGCCCATTAAAAAGTTTTTTTTACCAAATATGCCACCAGGGAACAATGTTGAGAATGATGTGTCTCATTCACTCAAAGCTGAGGAGTATTGAATTCATAGAGTATAACCTAAATTCAGGAATAAACAAATACTTCAATTCACCATTGTTTTGCTTTAATTTCCTCCTCTTTTTGTTATCATAGCTCTGCAGTTTTACTTTAAAAGGAAAATTTCAAATGTTATACATAAGGCCACACCAATTTAATTTTATGGATGACATCCTCTGAAGACCCCCAAACAAGTGCGTGCGGGCGAAAAAAAGAAAAATCCAGCCAAAAATAAAAATGCTACTAAACCACAGAAATATACAGCTGGTATTGTGAATTTGGCGCATTGCATAGCGACGTATACGACAGGCCGACACATGCTGGATTTTTGCGGAATTTATGAAATCAATCAACACTGTGCGTATGTACTGAGTTCTTGAGTCTTGGGGCTTCAGTGGCTGCCGTCCACCAGAGTTATCACCACCATATGCATGGACTACCCAGGCCTAAAGCCAGTCCAGAGCCTCGGAAGACGTGATCTTTTTTTTTTCTTTTTTTTTGAGATCGGGCGAAAATCAATTCGCGGATGTCATCCATAAAATTAAATCGGTGTGGCCTATTAAAGTACTAGTAAGAAGAATTACCAGTGGTATTTCAAATAAATGTCAATTCTTTGACAATGTGCACATAAAATAATATAGCCAGAGGATAATGCAGTGCAGGAGTCTATGTGGAAAACACATTTGCATGAGATAGTGACTTAAAGTGACTTATACAAACGTATGGTAAGGAAGCCAAGCTATTTTTCACTTAATCTGACCTATCTCTCAACTGTGACCTCCTTCTGTCCTGGTTCTACCATTGATCAGCCTGATATCATCAATCTTTGCATGATCTGAGTGATAAAAAGTGTGTTATGTGGATTCAAATAGGAAAGACTTCGGAATGAATCTTCCACCTGTGCTGTTACTGACAAATGTAGGACACAAATGGAGGTCAAATTTGACTCAAAATCCACCTGTGTCCAGGGCTTGAAATACTGGATGAGTGCACCCAAATTTGGAGCTGTGCATGCAATCTTATAATTTCTCTGGGCACACCAGTGCACCCAAATATTTTTGTAGGTTTACATTTTAGATGTTAAATGTATAGTAGTATACAACATATTCTTAATAGCTAAGTGTCAGAAAAATAATAAAATCATTGTTATGGTAACTTTCTTTCGAAATGAAACTTTTTACTTATTTTATATGGTGCACCAACAAAAAATTTTGTGCACCTAATTTTTTAGGTTGCCGAGCACCAGTGCACCTATTCCCAAAATGAATTTCGAGCCCTAGTGTCACAAGATGGTGCAGGTACACAGACGTAACACAGGGGCTTCATTATTTTTGCAGCAGAAAAGGAAAGGTTTTGATAGTGTTTTAAATTTGTGACTGAAATTTTTCTGTAGTACAGTTAGTAACACATTAGAAATACATGTGTTGTTTCATTTCAAAATTAACACTTTTTCTGTCAGTATAATAAATCAAACATAATCATAGCTTTCAAGCTCCTTAAGCGTATGTATTAAAAAAGAAAACTACTCTCCTCTTAACATCCGAAAACCCACAAATTACAGAAAAAAATGGGATCTTTTGTCTTCCTCTGTCTTCAAAAAGAAGGCAAACACAGTAGTTTTTTACTACCTTCTTATTAGAAGTATCAGTATTTCTATACGTGTGTACTAATTATTGTTTTTTTTTAACTAAATGTTTCTTCTATTCCTGCAATTAGCCCTCGGCATGAATGTGCCCTAAAACAATTATTATATTTAAGTTCCTGATCATTTAAGCAAGAAAATCATGCAGCTTTAATGACAAATCCAAGGACACACTAGGAAACTTGACAACTTACCCCTTTTTCAATGACCAGGTATTCTTCTTTCTCAGGGGACGACATCCTCCTCTACTGCCTTACACCATACGTGGGAACTCAACCTGCAAAAAAGTAGGAAAGTTTAATCATGACAGTCTGTCAACGTACTGGACAAACAGCCACACAAACCTACAGCTCAGCCACCCAAAATAATACTTCTGTTCCCAGAAGTAATAGATTTCTCTCCATGACAAATACATGATACAATATTGAAAGACACAGCCTGTTAGTTTTGTGATATATGGGCAAAACATTTGCTAGTATGTATTTTTAACCACTTTGAAATGTCAGTGTCTTTAAATATTTCATAGGCAGCCTCAGAGTCTGACATACATGTAATCAAGCTACATTGTAAACTACAGATTCATACTATAGCTAAGTAATAAACTTTGTTTAAAAAATTGTTAATACAAATATCTTTTAGACAAATGTCAGTCTGTGCACATTCAGGCTCAAAATACACAACAGTTTTCAGGGTGATCAATAAAGTCTGATTCATGTATACAAAAAATGAGTTTGGTGCCAGTCAATGTCACAAAAAAAGAAGGATGTCAACCTTTATCAAAGAATACAAATGCTGAATATTTGCAATTAGTTATATGTTAATAGGGGTGCCCTAACATGAAAAAGCATCTGATGTTTTGATGAAAGAATTTGAAATTGTGCAGAGAACATACTTTAATAAGAAATGCATCCATACGGTTCATGAGCCCTTCACCCTCTGCGTTACAAGCGGCAAATGTTGTGAGACGTTTTCGTGAATGTACCTTCTTGAATAATTGGCCTGGACCCAGACAGTATGTCCTACTTCACAATTTTTTGTAGTTTTGATGTAAAAAAAGTTGTCTGAACTTCGGGCATGTCCAAACTTAGGGCACCCCCCATTATATAATATATGTAGAACACTAAGAAAACAAATCAGACAGATTAACTTTTAGACTGCCATATTTTCATTCTACATACATGTAGTCAAGATGTCATGACCTTGAAACCTTTAGAGTTCAGACAATATTTTATCATAACAGACTTTAAATTTACAAATGGTCAATTATACATCTTAACACATGTTGTAGTCAATATTAAAGGGGTAATCATCACTTTACAACTGTTACTGTTCCAATCAGATTACTGTAGCTACTGAAAAGATAAAAGACCAAAAACATTTCTGTGCTTCTGTAACAAAATGGCGGCAAAGTAACACAAGTAACGACACACCTAAGAGACAAAGCTTTGTCCTTACACCACCTCAAACATTTCCAGCGATTCTACTTACAAACTGAACTTGCACCGGAACTCCAAGAAGCACCAAGATGACGCAAAAATCCCTACACGACATTGTCCAGAAAAATCATGGTCACCGTGATGTGAGAAAGGTCGCAAAATTCCACCCTTTCCTCGACCTATATGCTCATCACTGTCAACACAGGGCCTGGGTAGACCAGTCGGGTAGGTCAGATTTAAAGAGTGCGTGAACAAGAAGAATGAGTTAGTGACTGTTGTGTTGTCTTTAATTTGGCTCAGCCCTGCCCTGTAGCGATGGCTTCTCATTGGTTGACACTTCTAAATCCCACGGTAGTGTCGTAATGTACAGTAACTATATTGCACTAAAGTTTCGCTTTTTTTTTTTAATTCGCAGTTTTCAGGGTGCACTATAAATTCATGACACTGCAAAGACGCCTTCCTTGCAATTGTATTCATAGACAATTATAATACAGAATTGTTTTCCCTCCAACTCTGAAATAAAACCATAGCAAAACTATCACAATTCACTGTGTACAACACAAAACAAATCTTGATACTGAAGTCACCTTTACCATTCTGAACTTTGCTATTCATCTGTCAATTATATACACAATGGTTACACAGTTGTCTGGCTTTAGGTTACCTTTATGTAAACATTTCAAATTTTGTCAGCGAACTTAACCAACAAGCCTTAACTTAGCAACTGTATTAATTAATGCCAATTGTCAACCACTGCTTACTACTAAATAGGTCATTTTCATTCTTGCTTGATTGACTGTCATGGCAGTCTAATAATTCAAAAGATATCAGGTGACATTGAATTTTATTCTTTGTTTTACATTCGACTATGATGCACCACTCATATAAAAATGAGACAGGAATTTGCAAACCCTATATTGTCTTTCATCATATCTAGACAAGAAATAACAAAAATAAAAAAACACCAAGGCACCCCATGTTAGCCAGAAATGCCATGAAGTCAACACACCAGGCTGGTTTATAATTAAAACTGTAGATTTTGAACTTTGAATGAAACGAAGTTGCATTGTTACATGGAAAAACTTTAACAACTAGGAAGAAAAGGACTTTCTGCAACCGTTGGGGCCAAAATATGTCTTTCATTTCCCTTTCTTTTTTTGCAAATCAGAAAACAATGGACAGGGCGAATCCGAGAAACAACAAATTAACTTAATGTGGCCTAAGCAGCATTGGACAACATATTGTCCACAAGAGCTACATGTATAAATCAATATCTGGCATGATTTACATGTACATGTAGCTACACTTTACCTGTAGAATAACACAATTATCCCTCTGTGCTGATAAGACTTGATAAACAGAGCACTGCTAGATAAATAAAATCAATAACTCTGCTGTCTTGGCAACTGTCACTCAAAACTTAACATAGGACATGATTCCAAATTAGACAAATGATGTTCAGATTCACCTGTCACAAGTAATGAGGCTCAAAATTGACCAAAATTGATGAGTGACAGGTAGATTTTCAATTTTTATTAGCAATCACTTGATATCTTTATTTGCAAGCAGATACAGATTCATGTACAGATACAGATTCATGTACAGATACAGATTCATGTAAAGATATACAGATACAGATTTTTCCAGGTAGGATTACCAAATGAAAGCATATTAAATGAACAGTAATAGGGCCCAATTACATACGTCATTGTAATTGAAAAACTAAAGGCATTCTTGAAATAGTAGTGCATGTGTCATCGGCAATGGAAAATTCAGCAACTATCTTGTAACCGAACTGGCAATCTTTATTACCATTGTCATTATCATTATTTATTGTATCCCAATTCTACAGTTTGTATGTGACTGTTGTGTTTTGTTGTGTAAAACAGGGCCCCACTGAAAAGAAGTGTAATCACTTAACGACCACCCTGTATAAAAATGACGGAAAATAAAATAGATAAAAATTAAAAAGATCTTTGTTAGCGATTAGTTCTGTTACAGCCTGCTTGAAAATTCTGCAGCATCAAAATACAGTCAAACAGCTTAGCGGGTTACGGCCAGCCGCGACCGCAATCGGCGGTGTTGACATGCCGGCGGGACCGGAATGGGGTGACCGCTGACCGCGTTGAACAGTGACCACTATAGACACGATTCTTAATGCTTACGTCAATGGGAAAAATTCAAGGGACCGGCAAAAACTGACCGCTATGGCCGAGTGACCACTATACAAAGGTGACCGCTAGTACAGGTTTTACTGTATAACCAAAAAAACAAATGTGACCATGCCATCAACAACTTATCAAATTAAAAATATGGTGGGAGAAAATTCTTCCACTGCTGTTACAATATTATGAAGCTGTACATCATTTTAATGTACATTGTAATGTTCTCATAAACTTCACAAGTATGTTTTCCTTTTCAAATACCATAAACCTAATTATGATTAAAACACTCCTATTGGTTGACTGTTCCTGTCAGATAATGGTCCTCTGGGGATAGCCCCATTAAAATGGAAAACATTTTTCAATATGGCCTCCTAGGCTCAAATAACATGACAGAGGTAATGTCATGGGAGTTCATCCTATGAGGACAACATGACCATATCAAGCTTAAAGTTGAGGGCATGCATGGAGGATCCTGGCAATATTAAACAGTAAATTCAGGAGGGCCGGCAAAGTTCAAAATCTATTGTTTTAATTATAAACCAGCCTGGTATGTTCACTTCATGGCTCATATTGTAACATTTCTGGCTATCATGGGGTGCCTTCGCCTGTTTTTTTTTTGTTTTGTTTTGTTTTTTGTTTTGTTTTGTTTTGTTTTGTTTTGTTTTTGCCTCATATTTTTTCTGGAAAAATCTGACAAACAAGAAATTAAATTGGTGCGGCCTAATCTCTCAGTAGTGCCCTCTCAAAAGGAGGTCAGCTATCATCAGAGGGTACTCCAGGGATCTTGCAGATAATGACTTCCAGATGTGAAGAGCCTGTGTAGGAAAGGTAATCTCTTGAGATATAAATACGGATTACTTTGTTTGTAAACAAGGAGAAAACAAGTCTCTTTGCTGTGTAAACATTGACACTAAATTGTCACAGGTGATATCTATCGTCTGAATGTCAATAAAGTCATCTTTTTCTTGGGAATACTTGAACAAAATCTGGATTGAGATTAAATCTAATAGAATCCGTTATCACTTACATGAAGTACATGTTACATATCTAAAGTACATGGAGAAAACATGTATCCAGAGAAATCAGGTATGAAAATCTGATGAAATGTGAGTATACATGTACCTCAGGATAATCCTGTTCACAAGCTAACAATACACTTATAAAGCCAACAAACAAGACACTAAGCCTGAACAAACAAACAAACAAAAATAACGGGCAAAACTACATGTACATTTACCTTTAATAACTCAGGCATGTCACACTGGCAATTTAGGTAAAAATATCCAAGCTGCTTGACATATCCTTGGATTAGATGTACAAAATATCTTGGACAAATAAAGACGGAGACTGGTACAACACTAATCAGATCTTTCCTCAGCGTAATCCAAAATGGTGGGAGGTTTCCCCATCAGGGGAATACTCCTACAGGGTCAGTATCATCAAAGTCTTGACTATCTAAAGTTATGAACACTGCAGAACATTAATTTTCAGACAACTGTGCTCATTACACCAAGTGCTATGCACTTACATGTATGTCCAACTTGAATGTTGAACATCAATTTTTACGTGAGATTTTTCCAAATAGCTTGTGACTTTCCAAACTTAAAGTGACCAGTGTTTTGTACTCACAGACAGCAGACAACAAATCGGCTAAATTGTAAAATACTCACTGAGTAAATCCAGCCTACTTAGTACTACTATTACTGACAACAATTATATTCAATAGTCGTGTAGTATTTGCCAGTGTTAAAAACAACCAAGAAATCATGAATGTCATCTTCATGTTTTATCCTATTCATATCCGTATCCTATTCTTTCAAAATACAATCTAAAACAAGAAGCCATAGGCGACAATTCTCCGTGAAGTTTTATATATTTCAACAAAATCCCAAGCGTCAACGCCAGACCTACTGTGCAGACATTATAATTAGGCAACGGTTAATACCACGCTCGTCCCCAGCGCCCGTGGAGAAGCCATAGGTTATAGATCGTGGCTTAGCCCAGGCTATGGAAAATAAACTTTCTTTAATGCAAATCTGTCGTTTTTGTTTTCTTTGCGCTATCTAAAGGGTTAGGATAACCTACTCTACTCTGGCGGTATTGTCGTGCGCGCTCGCTAGTACGTAACGTTACACGGCGGCCATCTGAATACATGTACACTGCATTCTTTCTACTATCGGGACCTAAAACAAGACGCAAGATTCCTATTTTGGGGTATAAAATGCTGTCACAATGGTAGTATATACCAAATGAAACGGACCTTTACAAAGTACCTCATTTGGTGACGCTATGAGGGTGTACCGTTATCCCTCTACATTTGCCCAGAAGGGAGTTAGTCGCGGAAGGAACTTAGCCACGGAGGGAGTTTTGGCATTCTCCGCCCGCGCCACAAACTCTCGTCCCCAGGACAGTTCACTCTGCTACCCAGCATGCTTTGCGCAAAATGCGTTCTCGGCCCCAGGACACAAATACACGCTAATGCTTCCGCACTGTGTTGCTCTGGGGACCCCGCCGCGCGCCCAGATGTGGATTTAATTATAGCGCGCTAGCGGACGCTGCGGAGGAGCGTGGGTTAATACAATGAGGGCGCGTCACAAGCATAAAACATACAAAGAGCTAAATCCATTACTGCTCCCAGGGCGTGTAAAGATACTGTGCTTCAAGTTCTAACTTCATTTTAATTACACACACACAATCATTGCATTCACATAAAGATCGGACTATCATGGTCGTGTCTAGTAACAAAGACAGCCCCACCGTCTTACGGTGCCTGTACCTAATTAAGCGCGCCTGGAACAAGCCAAATTCCAGCAACAGTGGCGGTAAGCACCGCGAGTGTTACTACCGCCGGCCAGATAACCAGGATATCTGCTTACAGTACCTCTGCTACCAGACAACTGCCTAAACCTACGGTCTATTC